CCCACACCAGCCATCGTATGCCGGCCGTGAAAGCCTTCGACAATACATTATAAACCTTATGTTTCACAGAATGTTATGTACTTCTTATTCAAGAAATTAACTTAAAAAGCCACCTTCCTCATGGTTAGACTTTATATAGGTTGATTTTTTAAGTAATATCTGCTTTGAAACACCTCCTACTATTTGTGTAGTACAAATTGCGTAGTAGTGAAAATGGACACTTAAAAGCCTGCTTTGGAAGGCTTCCCTCTCTTATGATTTTCCCCCCAAATTACAGTTGCTTGAAGCTAGTTTCTCTTCCATTCCTTCGCATTGGGCCTTTTTTCCTCCATTGCATCCACTTTTAATTGTCCTAAAGCTAACAAAATGGACATAGACAGGTTTCACTAAACAAGCCATATACATTAAGGTGTTTGCAAGTATAATCAGAATCTTTTGAGGACTGTAATATGATCCAAACTTCTTAAATGCCTGCTTTTAAAATATCTCTCTGAATCCATACATAATTAGTGAAAGTTCCTAAAATTATCTTCAGAGGTTGGGCTCCCAGAGTTGGGAAAAAGTCATTCTCTTTGGAGCTTATGGAAATAGACTTATAGCATCTTGTATATTTTAATGATAATTTTCATTATAAATTATCAATGAATTGTTAATTCAGTGAATTATTTCAGTGGAATAATTGTTTTCTGAAATGCAGTATAGAGTCTAAAAGTTTAAAATAAAACGATTCCTTAATTTTATATTCAGTTCTTCTGGTTTCTTTGAAATAACATAATATGACTTAAACTTTTTAAGTTTTGCTTTGTGTCTCTATTGGGACATCTGAGCTTGTTTTGTAGAACAAGCTGCAGTTAATCAAAACTGGAAGTTTCTGAGCGTCTCCTTGGTGTGTGGAAAAAGACAGAAGAGAGCAAAGTGCACAACCTCCACAAGGAAGTGGAACACATTTGTGTCTCATTAAACTGTACATACCTACTCTATATTTGGCTTTGTTGTGGCAATAAAACAGAAAAATATAATTCAATCCATTTGTAAACGCAGTGATTGATATATTTATTTTCTGTACCAACAAAAACTCATCTGGATTTGGTGTACTTTTCTCTTGAGGTCTTCTGTTGCTGTTATAAATTCCTTTCCTGAAAAATCAAGAGAGCATGTAGAAGATGATGAGTACAAGATTCCTTCATCCCATCCTGTTTCTTTGCCTTCACAATCACTTCATTGCCATAATATAAAGCCTCATATTCGGTAAGGTTATTTGAAGATGATGCTAGAGCAACCATTTGGTATGACATTCAATTTAGTTTTATATTTTATTGATGTTAATCATGATTATAATTCTAAAATTATCTCTTTGCACAGAATTTAAAATACTTGGTATCAGGTACCAGTCCCTATCTGCTAAATTTTTAGACTGTTAGGCATTATTTACAGTGTTCTTAGTTTTCGTTTGTTTTTTACGGTATAAAGAATACACTTTTTTGCTGGCTTGTACTTCCTCATAATATAATTCCTAGTATCTCAGCTTTTAATATAGTTAAAATATCTTAATGGAACATCACTTTTTTAATATATTATTTCAGCAGTGTACACAGACAAACAGTTAGTTAGTTCTGGCTGACAGATTTTTGTCCTTGGATGAGATTATTTTCTTACCAAGGTTGTATTAATACCTTTTTAATTTAGCAAGAATGATTCATTCTTTAACTAAGAATTTATAAATTTATTTCTCTTTATAGAAGCAGTATGAAGTAAATTATAATTGTCAATTATTTCATTAAAATTTATTTGGTTTGAGTTAATTCTGAACTGCCTCTATTTATTCAGTTGATGTGCAGTTGGTGCTAGAAGATAATGTCTTTTATTAAAAATTAAAACATTTGATAGTCATTAAAGATGGGGGCAGGGGGGAAGAACTTGTCTGAAGTTAAATTATTTCTTAGTACCATCTTAAGTATCTTCATTTTGCATTTCCTTTTTGCATCTAATTTCATGTGACTTCCTTGTGATTAAAACTCCAGTTTTTATGTTTGCTTTCAGTGTATTTGAGAATGGTCAGTGCTCTGGAATAACTAATGAAATGCACAATACTTCCTCTGAGATGAAAAAATTGAAATATCCTGATACAGGTATGAGTAGTACATGTTTAAAGGGGAAAAATTAACATGCTATTTTTAAAACTTTACTTTTTAAAAGAATTAAGGTATTTTAAATGTTTGTTATTTAGGAGAAGCCTTTGAGTCTACCATGCCAGTACCTTTGCCACCTGTGCGACCTCCTTTGAGGGAAAATTTGAAACATGCATCTGTACTCAATAGAACTTCTTCTGATTATGACTTGCTGGTGCACCCTCCAGGTTATATATTCTCTTTTTCTCTCCAGTGCAGCAAGTTCTTTATACTAAGTCCTTCAAACAAAGCTATATGTAGGCTAAATCTGAAATCCTACACTAAGTCAGTATTGAATGACTGAAGCCTCATTGATTTTTATGGGTGTATTCTATATATATCTAGTTCAAGTTACTAATACCTTTTACTGTAAATGATGATAATATAATCTATTTGATGTATTAATATCTAGTGGTATTAGATTAAGCAGTGCTAATATTTTTGTCCAATTTTATGCATTTGTCTTCTGCATATAAATTTAGCTAGATGTGGACATTTTATTCAAAATCAAAATGAATTAAATTCCATCTCAGATTATCAGAAATATATCAGCATGACTTATAATACTGCAGAAAAATTCTGTGATCTGTTTTTATTTATATTCCAAAAGTTTGGGGGTGGGGGAGATCTAACTGTCCCAAAAAACTAGATCAACAATATCACCTGGACATATTTTTCTGGAGTTGGCTGGATTGGCCTGGCTGTTATTCCTAAAGCAATTCATAATCCTTTTTAATTTTTTTAGTATTTTTACTTTGGACCAAAAAAAAAAAAAAAGACTAGGATATTTTGTTGTATAAATTATTTATTTGTATCTTAACCTAAAACAGAGATGAGCAACTTTTCTCTAGCCATAAACTTTACTTTTATTTTGTGGAATGGCCTCCAAAAACTATGGTTGATGTTGGGGCTGTGTCTTAGGTCAGCTATGGGAGAGCCTGAATAGCTTTATAAACCTGATTCAGGGAAAAGAAACATAAAATGTGGTAGTGATTGTAGGTTCCGACAGTGTTGTATATTATTGATTTGGACAAAGGAAGGATAAATACCTTGCAGATGAAAACACATGGTGTTTCTACTAGCAAAAATGTTGAGTCTGGACACAGATTCAAAGTGTATACTCATCATAGGGTGAAGAAAATACTGAACTGGAAGTATTTGAAAATTCCACCCTAGCGCCCTGCCCCCCCCCCCAAAAAAAACCACATTTGACACAGAGATGGGGAAGTAAAAGTCCTTTATTATGCCTTTCTTAGCTAAAGATATTTTACTTCCATGATTTCAGTCAGAATACCCATGGAATTTAATTAAGAACTGATCTAATGAAAATTTGTTCCCCCCAAATTCATTTAGCTACTAAACAGTTTGAATCCTGCAAAGGGACAAGTCTAGACTGAAATCCTGAAATATGGATCTCAAGTAACTGAACCGAGATAGCACCAATTGTCTTTCCTCCAAAAAGTATTGTACCCAGAAGGGAGCCTGAGAGGAAAATTGCCAGCGAAACAATTTTCCTCAGTCTGAATTCATACTCAGTGCTGAGTCCATGATGATTCTGTATCCACAGATATCCTGATAAAAACCAAGTTGGCTGCTTGAAGCCCAAAATACTGCTGCTGCCAACAGCTGAAAATCTCTGTGCTTGCAACTTTTTATCGACTATAGCCTTAGTCAAGAAGATTGTTAAAGAGGTCAAGGAAGCAACCAGTGCATCTCCCAAACAGACTTTAATAATTTTATAACTTGGAAAGGAGCTAAGGGTTCATTGACCAATATGTATGTAGATTAATCTTTGCTGAATTAGCCATTTTGCTTTCCCAACTTGCTAAAGCCATAGAAAAGGAATAGCAAGGGATTTAGGGAAATCAAAAGAAGTTTAAATTAGTTAGAAGTAAAGTTTACAGTGTCCTTACTGAAGCCGCTGTACTGCTAGATAAACTTTTGGAGAAGGACTTATTAATGAAAATGGGTTTATATAATAAATTCTCTGTCAATGCAGGTGAAGAGTTGTCTGACAATCCGCCATCTTCCCTTCCTCCACCTCCACCACCCCCTGCACGCCATAGCTTCATTGAGCAATCAAGGCCACTTGTTGCAGGAAACAGACCTCTGTCTGGACATGAACTGTACCTCCCTCCTGCTGGTAAGAGATGATGATAGTGACGGTGAAAATGATTTTAATGTACAATAGAGATTTAGTTAGGGAGAAAAAATGTCCTCAAATTTTCAGCTACTTCTCAGCATACTTGTAACTATGCACTATAAAATGGAAAAATGTTATGAAATTATATAGAAAAATAAGAAAATTAATTTCCTGCATTGCCTAAATATATATTATTCATGATATAACGATCTGCAAATTAAAAAATAGTTTTTGTTTGGAGTTCTGGCTTCCGGGGCAGAAATGGTGGACTGAAGATGGCTCTGCAAAAAGCAGAGCCAACAAACACAGTGGTATGAAGAGCCAGCGAGTAAACCATCTCTTCAATAATTCCTCTCTGAACAAGGAGAGGACTTGAGATCGCTCACAAGTGCTCCAGATAGCTGCTCCTTGTGAAGAGACACAAGACAGCAGTCTCCAGCAGGTTTAGAGCTCTGGGACACAAGGAATAGTCATCTTGCTCAAACTGTGGTCGGCGCCTTTGAAAGGACACTAAGTTCACATACTTCCTTTTCTAACCAGTTTCGGAAATTGCTTGTTAACTGCTTTTCAGCTATTAGGAACCTTTGGATTGACAGGTTTTATAGCACTGGGTGAGTTTCCTTCAAACCTTAGTGAAAGAAGTTTTAAATACAAGTTTAAGGACTTAAAAAATTTTTTTTTTGAATAAATAGCAAAAAGGTGATTAAAACTTTGATTTTAGAAAGTTACAAATGGACTAAGGGTCCAGCTAAATTTGAGGTAAGATTTTGAAATTAATTATAAACAATCCTTCCTGGGGGAAAATGCTTTTGTTTTGAATTGCTTTTTTTTTTTAAATAAGATAAGACTTTAAAAATTGGTCACTAGAGGGAACTAGAGGTAACTAAAGATTACAATTAAGAACACTTAAATTCAGCTTACAATACAGAATGAAGCAAAATATTTTAACATTGGATGTATTGAAGGACATTATTGAACAGTGGACCCAGAAGTTAATTTAAGAGTGTCTTCCTCTATACATGTAGTCTTCACTTAATGACCATTTTACCAATTGCTCAAAGTTACGATGATAGTAAAAAAAAGTAACTTAAGACCGGTGCCTGAAGTTATGACCGTTGCAACTCCCCTGCAGTCACGTGATTGTGATCTGGGTGCTGGCAACCAACTCACACTTGCAGCATCCCAGGGTCACGTGATTCCCATTTGCGACCTTCCCAGCCAGCTCCTGGCAAGCAAAATCAATGGGGAACCATGTGATTCACTTAATGCCCGTGTGATTTACGTAATGGCCGTGTGATTCACTTAACCACAGTAATTCAGTTAATGACAGCTGCAAAAAAGGTGAATTTGGGTCCAGTCACAGGATTATTTGCTTAAGGACTGCATCGCTTAGCAACCTAAATTCCAGTCTCAATTGCGGTAGTTAAGCTAGGACTATCTGTAGATAGACTGTGTTTAAAAGATGCTATGGAAGAGGAACAAGTTTTACCTGACAAGATTGAGACTGATTTGAAAGTGGATTTAAAAATGACAGGTGAAAAGAATTACATGGAAAAAGTTGCTACGCTAGACATACAAAAGAAACCGGCTGATATCTTGATAATTAAAGTTTAAAAGATGCTATGGAAGAGGAACAAGTTTTACCTGACAAGATTGAGACTGATTTGAAAGTGGATTTAAAAATGACAGGTGAAAAGAATTACATGGAAAAAGTTGCTACGCTAGACATACAAAAGAAACCGGCTGATATCTTGATAATTAAAAGGGATATACAAAAAACATACCAAGAGAGTGACCTGGATAATTTTCCTATATTGGACTTACAAAGGTGGCTTGTTAAAGTTTTGAAGAATTTTGTGAAAAGGGACAAATAAAAATGAAAAGAAATCAAGTTCTAGGACATTATTTGATGGGACTACAGATCAAGATTGTTAGAAGTAAAAGGAAGGAATATAAAGTTGGCTTATTTGATCAAGGTTAAAATAGATATGTTGTTGTCTCTAGTAACCCTTAATGGACTTTTGCTGACATCAGGACTGAAATGACAAGGTTTTATGGATTTATTTATAGATAAGAGATGGGGTATGGGAAGAAGAGACCATTTGTTGTATTTTAAGAGAAGGTGATAAGTTACTAAAATTGTTTATACTTGAAGGGCAAATTAACTTCTTTATATATTTCTTTTCTTTTTTGTTACTATACTCTTATTTTTTTCTTTTCTATTTCTCTTTCTATTTTTCTTTTCTGCACCTTTTCTTCTTTTCTTTTTCTTTTCTTTTTTAAGTTTGTATTGGTTTTTACTGTTGTAATTGTAGTCTTTAATAAAATTACTCTAAAAAAATTAAGTAAAAAGTAGTTTTTGTTTGTCAAATAGTCTAGTATGACCATCTTTTATATTGAATTCAAGAAATGTAATGAGTATTATTTAAAAGTATATTGGATAGTTACAGTTGAATCCTATGCCAGAATGTTTTATTCAAAGTTATTAAACATATGTTTAATAAAGAGTGTAAATTTATTTCAGAATCAAGCTTTAATTATATGGTGAAACAGTGAGATAACACTCAGTGGAGACAACCACTACTCATTGACTTTCATGGTGTAGGCCAATTGTTTATTTGGTTTGAAGCAATTTTGCTTTAGCCAAAGCAGCATCCAGAATAGTTTATAAAAATTAGTACCTTTATAAAATTAGTAATTTTATAAAAATTAGTACGGTTCATAAAAATTAGCATAGGAACTACCTAAACACATTCATAGAGGGAGAGGCAGGAAGCATAGTTGGCAATTCAAAAACGGGAAGATCTGAGGCTACTGCTCTCTGCTTTTCCTCTGCTGCAGACTATTAATGTAGCTGACTGAAGGATCTACAACTGTTAGAGCTGTTTACATGAGATCCTTGAAAGTCTTTAGGGGTACTTAGGTCAGAGACTTCCAAAGGTTCTCAAATTACAAAGGGGCATGATAGGAAAATTAAAAACATGATTAGAGAGTAATCATAGTAACTGTATTTAATATTAATGGGTCTGGAAATGTGTACCCCTAGCTTGCACAATAATTCATTGTCAAAGTATTTCATTTTGAAATAGCTACTGCTTCAGTGATTGAAAAGTTCCATTCATTGTTACAAAAAGATAATTGCATTTATATATGATAATTTTTATCCGTTAAATATAATTCTTCTCCTTTGGTGAAGGAGAGCAGGTATAGCATGCCTGTGTTTACTAACTTTTTGCCAATAACCTTTGGTTTGAAACTCCCTTCATGCAAGGTATCTTCACTTAGAGTAATCTTTTTTACTCCCACTGAAGAAGAAATATCCCACTCATTCTAGAAGTCTTTCAAAAGGCCACAAGAAAGCCCTGAGAAGCTGTGTTGCATGGGTGGCTTTTTACTGTGGATCTAACTTAAAGTTTACAAAATATAGTTGGAGCAAAACATAGCAGACAAATGGGGAGCAATAGCCATAAACCAGTGGATAGAAAGATTTAATGAAAACTAAATCTGTAAGATTTCTGGAGCACATCTTCTCCATAGTATACCTCAAGTTTTCTGCAACTTCTTGACAGCATATCTCAACAATATGATCGTGTAGCACACTACATTGTAACCATCATCTGAAATCATAATTGAAAGAAACGCTGGTTAGTATTAACCATAATGTCTCTGATTAACACAGTAAGTAAGTAAGGAAAGGTGAAATCTGCATGAGAAGGGAGTCCTTTGCATGAGGGGGACCTTGTAATTCGTCTTGATGAATTTAAAATGTAATGTATTACACCATTAATCTCTTGTGTGTGTGTGTGTGTGTGTGTGTGTGTGTGTGCGCTTTATTTTCAAATTCTTTTAATGTCAATTTGAACAGAACTTATACAGAAAGATCTGTATTTTTCATTTCATAGATCTTTTCTTTGATCCTACAAATGGCTCAATTCCTTTACCACCCGTTAGAAGATCAACTGGTGAAAATATGAAGACCCACAGAACATCCCAGGATTATGACCAACTGCCATCTTCTTCAGGTAATTAAAACCCAATATGCAGGAATAAAATTGCAGGATTGTTTCTCTGGCATCTTCCTGCATTATTCCAGAAAGATGAATTTGTTGCCTTAATCTTTCAGATTAAATCTTTCAGAACATATAATACAATTAAAAGTGAAGAATGTGTGATTTAGGACATCAAAATAATTATAAGACACACTGTGTTCTAGCAGCGCCATTAATGTCCCATGCCTTAGTTACCTCCCGCTTGGATTATTGCAGTGCTCTCTACATGAGGCTGCCCTTGAAAACAATCCAGAAGCTGCAACTGGTCCAGAATGCAGTGTTACGTGCAGTTTTGGGTGTCGTGTCCTATGGTTCACCTGAGTAACACCACTGCTGCATGAGCTACGCTGGCTTCCAGTTGCTTTCTGGGTGCAATTCAAGGTATTGGCTTTCACCTTTAAAGGCCTACATGGCACAGGGCCAATTACTTGTGGGACTGCCTCTGTCCTGCCTGTTCTACTAGGTTAGATAGGGTGGGCAAACTCCAGATCTCCTCCCTTAAATGTTGCCATCTGATGGGACCTCGGAGGCGTGCCTTCTCAGTGGCTACCCCAGTCCTTTGGAACAGCTTCCCACCTGAGATCCAAGGGATCCCTACCCTTTTAGCCTCCCAGAGGGCTGTGAAGACCTGGCTCTTCCTACAAGCATTGGGCTAGGCTGGGGGTTGAGCTGTAAGGTTGTTTGGTCTGGCACCTGGGGAGAAGGGTATGTTTTAACTATGTTTTAATGGATTGTGTGAGCCTCCTAGGGTCATTGTATGAGGTAGTGGCGATAAAAGTTCTGTAAATAAATAAATTATATTAGCCAATTGTGTGACTTCTCCATTTCACAAAATAATCAGTGCATATACTGGTTATATGCTAAGAAATGTTAGACAACATTATTTATTTAATTCAATTTCTAGGCTGCCTGACTCCTCAATGACTCTGGATAGCTTACAATTAAAAAGAACATATATCAAAAAACATCACTGGCTGGAAACTCAATATCACAAAACATAATATCACAACCCCTCCTCCCCCCAACCATAGGGATTCCACAACCATCCTATCCCAAGGCCTGGGAGAACAACCAGGTTTTTAACAGTTTTCAGAAAGTCATTGAGGTGGGAGCAATGTGGATCTCTCAAGGATGTATGTACACTGGGGAAATATCATTTTTGATTTCCCATAATGTTACTATGTTTTCTTCTTGATGAAGCTTTATTATGGTAAGCCTAAGCTGGAGTATAAGGGAGATAGAGATGAGCTTGTTTTCAGTTATGTGAAAAAAAATTATTTCTGCTTGCCCTCTTATTTTGCAGTTACATCATTTTAAATTCTTAATTCTGAATAGGATGTCACTTAACTCTTAGGCTTACAATAGGTTTCCAGGTACAAAGTCCCATATGGCTTAGTTCCCTGGTACCTTCAGGACTACTTCCTTACATAGAGCTAGCCGGTGCTATATACTTGTACTGGAAATGCTCAGTTTCCCAAATACTAGAAGTAGGAGAGGTGAAGGCTCAGAAGCAGTGTTTTTCTGTGGTGGGCCCCATCTTATGAAACAGCCTCCCCTCTAGCATTTCAGTTTCTATTAACCCTTTAATCTTTTTACAAGGCAGGGCTTAACTATTGTTCCTGGTTTGGAGTTGGCATCAGGGTTGTGTGCTGTTGAATGTTATTGTTCATTATTTTCATTTCTGGATTTTATTCTGTGCTTCTCTTTTTAATTGTGCTATAAACTGCTGGGAGTCAGTCTTGGTTATAGTGATTTGTAACTCTGATAAGCATAGTGACTTTGTGGTATTAGAATCTAGATGTTCACTACTAGCTTAAAAAAAGAAGAAACCAACACAGTTACTACCAAGAAAAAATCCATAATTCAGTGTGTTGAAATATGCAAACTCGTGATGTATTTCTAATGTTTCTGTAGTGCTTCTCATACAGTCAGATACTGAACTTGTTTACAATCAAAAGGATTAAAATACAACAATAAAAACAAAGTAAAAGCCTGTTAAAGCAAAACAATATATCCAATATTCATAGAAGGAAGTCCTGGCACAAGGTACCTAGAAGATGTAACAGTAGGTGCCTCATGAATTTCAGGTGGGCGAGCATTCCAGGGTACAGGCACCATCACAGAAAAGGCTTGTCTGCGAGTAACCGCAAGATGACACTCAGTCAGTCTCGGCACACGCAGCAGAACCTCCTCTGATGATCTTACCAATCAATCAGGTCTGTAACAGTAAAAATGATCTGTTAGGTATCCCACATTATTTAGGACCTTATATGTAAAAAGCAGAATCTTCAACCTGACCTAATACTTAATTGGAAACCAGGGCAATTGCTTCAGCAGAAGCATAATGTGACATACTTAGCAACCTGGCTATGCCACATTTTGTGTCAGCTTCTCCTTTCAGATCAACCACAAGGATGCCCTCATAGAACATATTACAGTAATCTAAACATGAAGTTACCCCTGCCTAAACAAATATAGCTGAGCTGTCCCTATCCATGAAAAGATATAATTAATACACTTAACAAAACTGGAAATATGTCACTAGGCTTCACTGGTAATAATGTATGTAGGAGTATCCTTTTTAGAGCAAACAGATTACTGAAATTCTCATGTGGAAACACCCACCCTAAAATTTTATGAAGATACAGACTCAGTTTACTGGCTGTTACCCACCCCATTGCTATGTCCTGGTTCAGAATATACCTCTCCTGATTCAGAGGTTACAGAGAACTTGAGCTGAGTGTCATCAACATACTGATCATTACTAGCCCCCAAACTCCAGATGACCTCCCACAGCAATTTCATATAGATATTAAATATCACTGAGGACAAAATAATGCCTTGAGGTACCCCACAACATAGTTGCCAGGATGGAGAGGTAGTCACTCAACTCTGGGCAAGTAGAAGCAGAATCATTTTAGCACAGTGCCTTCAATTCACAGAGACAAGCCAAGGGAATACTGTGTTTGACAGTATTAATCTACGTAGACATCAAAACATCAGTAGAATCACATTCCATTTATATCTGTCCTGCAGAAGGGCATCTGATTCACTAATTCTCAAATCCAGGCCTAAGCCCAGAAAAGGGTTAAAATCACGTCACTTGAAAACATCTGCAGCTATCCAATTACTACCTTACCAAGCATGTTGCACACACAGAGGCTGGACAGCCATCTTTATGAGAAGCTTTAAATTGTATTCTTGACAAGATAGTTGGACTTGATGGCCCAAAAGACACCTTACAACTTTGATTCTGTGATCTATATTTCTAGGAAGAAAGGGGTACTTGTAATTGGGTGGTAATGGGCGTAACCTTGGGGGTCCAGGGAGAACTTTTTAGGAATAGACTACTGTCTCCTTTAAGGTTTGTGGTGGAAAGGTGCAGTTATAATTGCCTTGGAGTCATCTAGTCAGTCCCCTAACTAATAAACTAAAATATGGAGGTGTTATGAGAGTATAAGGCTATGCAAGTAAAGTGTCTTGTCTATGATCTGAAGCCTCAAAACCTGAAAGCATTCCTGTACATTTAAGCCATTAGACTGGACATCTGAGGTGCGGTATGTCAAAAATAGCATTCCAGCAATTTTATCCTTGAAATGACTTGGAAATCTATTACAGTGGTCTTTGAGGCCCCAGTATAGTTTTCTGGGGGAGATGATGATAAGTCTTGACCATTCTAAACTCTGCTGGATAGCTACTTTGGAATATAGAATTGAGTAAATTAAGGAATACCCAGTTGGCCTCATGTCGTGTCTTACATTTAGCTGTCCTGACCCATTTCATTGCCCAGAGCTCCTGAGAAAACTGTAAAAAGTAAGTAAAGCTGAACTTATACTGGAAAAAATTACAGATTTTTAAAAATTTCAAGAAAAAATATGAGCAGAACATTCCTATGTTCAGATTCTGTGGATATTCTCTGTATGAATGTCTGCTGAACCAAAACTATCTCAAGTTCAGGAGAAGCAATTTTAACTTCTCTCATCCAGCTAGAGTCTGTGAGAGAGGCATAAGTTAGACCAAGTCCTATCCTTCAAGTTTTTTGTTGTTTGTGTGGCAATAAACTGAATTTTATTAGGATGCAACACTATTGGATAGCTGTAGGCGGAAAGCCTTTAAGCTGTGGTAACTGTTTTAAAAAGAGGCAACAGATAATTCTCAGTGCACTTGTAGGAACAGTAGAAACTCCTTATGTACCTAAACTTATTAAGTCTATGAGTTTAAATTTGACTTCAACATGTTTTGCTTTGTAATAAGACCTGCCCCAGGGTTTTGAGGTTCTAGTCTAATAGTGGGAGTGAAAAAGTTATCTTGAAGCTGCTGTTACAATATATTGCTTTAGTTTGCATAGTGAGTTATTACTAATAGTTTACAATTTGGGGAGCAAATTCAAAGATATTCTAATGCTAGTAGTAGTAGTAATAGTAATAGAGTTATTTATCCAAAATTCAGTTTCATCAGCTTTATGTAATATGTTCACACGTTTGTTTTGTACAAGTCAAAACATTCAAGTATCTTTTTAATACAGACGTTGGTATCCTTGATATATTGGCTATGCATAAACTATATGCATTATTTACTCCAACAGAAGAGAATATATATAGCTCAGGGTTGAACTATGGAGTCCTTGATGCTCTCTGAGCTTCGTTGTTTGCTTCCAAGCAAACAGCTAAGCTCAGAGAGCACCAAAGACTCTGTATTATTTACTAGTTATAACCATAATTTGGTATGCATTATATACAGAATTCCTATCTATTAATTATGGGTCTTTGTATCAATGATTTCCACTGAAGCCAAATTAAATGAAAATTTCTGTACTAAATCATAGGATAACTGAAAATATTTTTTCTAAAATAGATTTAGATTCAGTAGATGATGTTCATGGGGAATTTATTCATTTTTTTACCCATAAGCCTATTTTATGATCAGAATTGGTGTAGCCATTTGATGGAATAAGGATTTTTAAAAATTAATTTCAGTAGGAATGAATTATTTTTATCATGGCAACCACAGCTGATAACTAAAATAATCCAACACATATGTATGATTAAGATATCATGTAATAGCATAAATAACAACACTAATCCATGTTGAAAATTGTATGGCCAATAAGCAAGGGACCCCATAGCTGAGAGTGTGGAATTAGTATTAAAAAAAATAATAAAAATAAAACTAAGAATCATTCCTGGAAGGAGAAAGGAAGCTAATAAGGATCCTTACTGTCTTTCATTCTAGTTAATATATTGGAATGAATTCAATCAAAAAACCTTAAGAATGGAAGGTCAGCTGATATGTAATTATTTTTGAGATATTCATTTTCATTTGTATTTATTAAATTATGTTTTAAAATGCCATCCCTTATTTTCATAAATTCCAATAATACTTTATAGTATTTTTTGCAACTGCATATCAAAAAGATAAACATTGCTATAACAGGAATCATAAACATGAAGGTCTTCAACTAAACAGAGTTCTATTCATAGAAACTATTTGCTTGATGAAATCAGTTAAGTTTAAGATGCATTAGTTTTAATTATATTTCTCTTGTATAATGTTCAGTGGCTTATAGTAGGGCTTGTTCTTGTACCAAACAAAACAAATAACTATTTTGCTTCTATCTGTGCAGAGTTTAAATATTTCTGAATCCACAATCCAGTTCAAATTCTGCAGTTAGCTTTAATAGTGATAAAATTGGATAGAACCAATGACTTTGAATTAACCAGGAATATTTTTTCTTTTTCAATATCAATTGGCCATTCTTTTTGTTTTTTCTTTTTATGTAGATGGTTCGCAAGCACCAGCCAGACCTCCAAAACCACTTCCTCGTAGGACTGCTCCAGAAATACACCATAGGAAGGCACATAATACATCTATAGAAAATGTCGATGCAAAGATTGCAAAACTTATGGGAGAAGGCTATTCTTTTGAAGAAGTGAAGCGGGCCCTTGAAATAGCCCTGAATAATCTTGATGTAGCACGGAGCATTCTAAGAGAATTTGCTTGCTTTCCTCCATCAGTTTCCCCACGACTCAATCTATAGTAGTATGGAAAACCTTGCAGCAAGCCTATTTCTCCATATATGTGTATGTGTAAACATGAGAAATATTGTACAATTGTGAGATGGGATTCAAGAGAGATGTTTTTTTTTTTCCTGGATAAATCTTCAAAGAATGAATTGGAGCAGTTTTTCAGGATAAGATGAACTGCTCCATTCAAGATATAAGTGAATTAAATCTGTATTTTTGCTAGCCATATTTTTTGAATCAGGGTTGAACTGACAAATAATTTAAAGAAGTTTACTTCCCATGAACTTTTAATCTGTGAAATGTTTTTTTCATGTTTACAAGATGGTAAATGACAATTTTCAAGCTGATAGTCCTGTGGTCTTGTTCATATTTTCTATTGTGAGGCATTTCGAGTTGTCTTTATACTGATGTGCCCCATTTACTAAGTCAGTTACTTTTTATACATATATAAATGCACTCTCCATTTTTATTTTTCAAGGAGCTTTAAAAGCTTTTTGCATTTCTGCTCAAATAAAATGCAAGAAAAATGAGGCCTTCACTACTGATTTTATTTTTCTGGTAAATCTTTGCTATTTACGGAAAGCAAAAAGAAAAAAAAAATGAATGTGTAACATGTTGCCTTGTTTCTGGTCTATTTTAAAGGGATTTTGACCAGCAACACTGGGTAGCTTTTCTCTGACATGTGGTTATTAAGCTTCAAGATCAATATGATTAACTTACAAAATTAAAATATACAATATTGCATGATAATGACCTGGAAATATAAATCCTTTTTGGTATAATTATTCAAAATCCAAAAGGTATGGGATTAAAATTAGACTTTTGTTCCATGGTAAGCTTAATGAAAGGTTCTGTATGCCTTAATACTGCTAGATATGTGAAATAGATCCATCATAGTGAATTATATTATCAGTGGTCAGGTGAATTATTATCCTGTCTTTTGGAAAGTAGTATTTGGTTAATTTCCTGTGTGGATAATTATTCTCTGAAGCATCACAGCTTTGGGGACAGGATCATTTTAACCGAACTTTAAAGCTTCCATGCTGTTATTGAATCCTATTGCTTCTATAGCAACCAATTTTACAAGGCTTTTAATTAATATACATTATTACCTTAAATGTTTATTCATTCCCCAGATCAACTTATTATGTTATGTCTGTATTCTTGGACATAACTTTCTATCTTAAGTTGCTAGTGATCTTTTGAAGCACAAGCCAAATCAAGTTTTTCAATGAATTGCTGTAATTAAACCTAGAATAATTCCAAAAGTGATTTCAGTTTTGTCTCCTAGATCAGTGTTTCTCAACCTTGGCAAGTTTAAGATGTGTGGACCTCAACATGCTAGCTGGAGGATTCTGGGCATTGAAGTCCACACATCTTAAAGTTGTCAAGTTGAGAAACACTGCCTTATAACTTCCCATTTCCATTTCAGAAACTGTTTGAAATTGTTGACTTGAAACAGGGTAATCTGAATACAAACCTAAGCTTGAGATGGTTGTTTTTCCTATCTTCTTTTACAGTGTAACATATGAAATACATTTTTGCTGAAGGAAATTGGCATTTATATTATATTTTGGGCATGGTTCACCATATATCTTTCACCGACCTGCTTAACTTAATGTGTTATGTAATACAAGAATAGAGACATCCAAATGAGTGTGTGGACCTTCCAGTCTTTTCAGATCCCATATAATTGAGGGAGAGAGATACAATATATAGAATTTATATTGTTTGGTGGTATTTCAGCATCCAGTGAAGCTTTTGGCAGGCCAAAGCAATGGTAAACATTGCAAAAGATTGGATTCAGTTTAGTGGAAATTGCAAGTAATGTAAGAAGCCAGGTATGCCTGTATTCTCCTGTAATGTCAGTGTTACATCTTTTATCCTTGGTCATTTGAAAAAACTATATAGAAATGTCTAATAATAAAACTATAGGAGCTCTAACTTCATTTACAATGATTGTTGAAAAATAGAATTTTCACTGACACTCAAAAGATTGTACATCAGCCCTATCATTTCCTGTGAAAAATAAACATGTAATATGGCCACATTTAAACCCAAATGAATCAAAAGGTGTAATTACTGCCTTTCTCTTGTTCCCTTGAAGTCAAAATCTAAAAAGGATTTTTAATACTCCCAATTTGAGTATATATTAAAAAGTTAATATGCTGCTAAGTTAAAGCCTGTAATTCACCTACAATATACTTTCTCATAGAATAGAATTTTTCAGTTGTAGTGGAGAAAAATGGATTGTATATGTGTGTGTTTAGGCATGTATGCCTGTGAATGGTTTTTAACTGTAATAGTTTAGGGTAATCAGAGAACCAAGCCCAGTGTATTTTAAAAAAAAAAAACTAATTCCTATGAATGGGAATGTTCAAAATTATTACATCGATTGTGCCAACATAGTAGCAAAGTGAAGATAGAAAGATAAATCCTTGAAGTGATTACAAGGATATCATGTCCCAATGAACAATATTCCTACAAATCTCTTCACCATTCCAGAAGTCATCTATTGGTCTTCAAGTGCAGCTTTTGAAGAAAGCCAGCTGAAATAGAAAGCCAGTGTAATGTGGTTGTGATGAACTAGGACTTGGGCCAGATTCAAGTCCACTCTCAGTCAAGGAAGCTTATTGAGTAGCTTGGAATTGGTCACTTAGCAAAACCTGCCAAGTTGTTACTGTAGAGTAAATTTTTTGAGAGTGCTGTGTATGATGTATTTGGTTCCTGGAAGAAAAGCAGGATATAAATTTAATAAAATATAAATTAAATCATTCCTTGATAAATTGCTTGACATGCCCAAATTAGCAGCCACAAGCGTAAGTAGTAAACATTCTTTACAAGATTTTTGTGTTTCCAGAGATAAAGGGCACATTCTTTCAAGTATACAGACATATTTAACCGCATAATATTGTGCTAGATGGCACACTTACCAAATGAATCAATCTATCCATAAGCTACTTGCTAGGTTGGAAGTATGACCATATTCCTGCAATGGAGAATCATTTGAAAGCTTAAATAATTTTATCATATTTTAACTCCTGTTTTACATTCTTTAGATGAATGCAGAGTGTTGATCAGGTTGAGGGTGCACCTGGCTTTGAATGGAGTCCTGTGGTTCTGTACAAGAACTAAATTGATATAAGTGAAATAAAGTTAATATGATTACTTCTCACATATTTAATATTTCCTTTTTCTGTTTTCTTTAAAAAAAACAATTAGATGGCAGTTTTAGGAATGGCTTTGGGAGCACATATGCAAGTCTTGGGGGACAGGGAGGGCAGTTTATGCATCCTTGCCTTACAGCTAAACAATTCTAAATAGTTTAAACACATAGTGATGCATACCAGTTGCATTGATAACTTCCAACATTATAGAGCACAGCCAGACACTGGGCATCTAAAGTAACAAGGTGCCCTTTTAGTGGCTCAGTCTGTATTCTTCCCAATAGTCTAATGCCGGTTTGCTTCTATCCCAAGCATATGCCTAATATTTTTCATAATGTGAATTTATTTTGGGCCAGAAATATTCTCCTGTTTCTCCTGTTTCCAGCTTGAAGCTTTACTTTGCACTGACCTGGTAAATGTTTTAATTTGTGTCTTAAAGCTTGATACATTTGGAAGCAGACAAGTGAGTTCTAAATCAGGCACAGCCTGTTGACCTGGAACGTAATGCTTCTCAGACTGATTTCTTGAAAGGACTTCAATAGTTTTCATTTTGAAAGTTTTTCTTCTAAATAGCTATTTTATCTGAAAGAAAGAAAAAACACCTTTTATAAACTTGTTTAATGTGGCAAACATAGTGATGTGATCAGTTTATATTTTATTCAGCATTCTTTTTTTCAATTCTGAATATTATGTAACCTCAAGTTACTATATTGTTCTTGTAAGGTATTTTATAAAAATTAATGTTAACAAAATGACTTCTCTTTGTTTTCTATCATTATCACCCAAGTTTGGTATGCTGTGGTATATCATTCCCACATGTGTTTATGCAGGCATCAGAATGTACAGATGTGTATTTGCAAAATAGTTTTCCATAGTTCTTAGCTACTACCCTTCTCTAATGTGTGTCTTCCTAAATATTCTAAATACCAGTTGAGTTGTTTATCCTTCATTGTTGGAAAGTAAAGAGGTATTTTAAGTTCACTCAAGACTTGTCCCTGCCCTGCAAAATTTGCCTCCTCATAAAACAACAGAAGAATATATGTTTAGCAACCGTATTTGTTTCTATTAGTTTTACAGGGAGACTCACATCAAAGGCTTGGCATGAATAATAATAGCATGTTACCCTATAGGGCTAGTTTGCATGATGCACGAAGCCATATCTTAACTTTGAAGAAACAGCTGGTGAGCATGTTCTGATCACACCAACTGCTCATCTCAAGAGTTGATGCATAAGGGAGAGCTCACTTATGATTGATACAATTCTTTAACAAATTAACATTTTTCATTCACTATCAATGTCCAAATCCTTAGAAGCTGCTCATTTAGGTACATAGAATCACTTGCCAAACCTAGATCTTTCTACATAGTTTCTAGTCACCCTCTCTGCAATGCTTATCATTTTAGGCACTATCTTGATTGTTTTTGAAATTTATTAGTACACAAGAGCTGACATAGTTATACTTCTATAAATGTAAACAAATTTTAGAAATGTTATAACTTGAATTTCAATAACTCAATATAGGACAAAAATTAGTCTTACAAGAACAGGATCATCTTTACCGACTCATATTTTTCTCATGAAACATTTGTGACTGTTGATGGTCTTTTTAGTTTCTGCAACTTTTAGTTCTTATTTGAGGAAACACTTATTGTTGCATATAAACTGCTGGATGTTAAGGATGATCTGACAGGTGGGACGTGGTGGGACACTGCTGCCAGGTGCTGCTGCTAGATGCTGTTGCTGCTGAGGCTTCTGCTGGTATTTTTGCTGGGGACTCTGCTGCTGGACGCCTTTGCCACTGCCTGGTTCCTTCTGACTACTGACTTCCTTCTTTTGTGGGATGCCAGGGCTTTGGAGGTGTAGGCGGTGGCTGGGCTGGGTGTGTGTGTGACAGTGGCAGGCTACTATGGACCCCCTTTCCCCATGGAGGCCACCTTTGCCTGTCCTCTGGGTAGC